AGCAAAGCAGAAAGTTGACCAATGCGTTTGCCCTTGCATGAAGCAGAAACAACAGGAAGTGAACAAGGAGATCAAGATATGCTTCTATAACAGTTATGTGATGGAGATGCACTGTGAGATCTTATCTGTGACGTGTTCCCATGCCTTTTCCTCTTGTTGACTTTGCTGAGTAATACTTAAGAGCAGAGTTTAGGTTTATCCTTTCTCTGTATGGCTCCAGCCTAATTCACACTCTGGCTGCATTCTTGCTGCCATGGCTGCATCCTGGGAGTATTTGCCGCACCAGTGGTGGTTTTCCCTTTTTAAGTTCTCCCTCTCCCTGGCCACCAAGTGAGGTGATTAATGCTGCTCCATGACCAGCAGTAAACCTGAAACATGAGCTTAGTTTGCTCTCCTGTGCTCTGAGTAGTTTTCTGAGGGCCTCGTCTCTGTGTGCGTGACCTATCTTCATGCACAGAAGCTGCATCCCCCACACATTCGTACCTGTTAGAAAGGTGAAGCCAAAAAATTAGGGGCTGCTCTCAGAACGCTCCTAAGGCGCCACATGTGGCGTGACTGAGTTGTACTGAATTAAACCAGCTCCACCCTTGGGGTTTTAGAAGTTTCTGTTTAGTCATAAAAAAATAAAAATAAAAAAAAACATTATCACCGCTCCTCCTAAATGAAACATTGTGTCATCACACACCTTACACCTCAATTTCAGAAATGTAACCTTTAATTTCAAGACTTTGGAAGAACATTCATGTAGAGATAGATTTTTGGATTTCTCTTAGTTTTTTGGAACATTTAATCAGTAATTGATGACCTCTTGTTTCCTTGTGGTATATATATGAGGCCAATTCTTTCATCCAGGGCTGCTTGACTGGAAGATGACCCAAATCTATCTTAGCATGGAAAGTCAGTGGAATGGTCAGGAAGTTCTTTATTACAAACTTGGGACATTTTGATGTTTTTAGCCATGAGGTTCTTGTAGAAGAACCTCATGACCACTTTTGAGGACAATAGAGGACTTGTGATGATGTGGGTCTGCTTCTCATTCAAGGGTCAGTGGAAATTATAGTTTATTTCATTATTTTTGATTCATACTATATTTAACCCAGGGAGACACTCTGAGACTTCAAATGTTGTTTACGAGGAATTTCGGGGCCAAGATGAGGGAGCCTTTAAAATGGCAGTAAAATGCAATTCTTTAAAAGATATTTAAAGATATTTTACACATTGTAAAAACGGCTATGGTTACTATTTATGTAAGCCCAATGACACATGAAACAGTCAAATCTAACAGCATAGTGGATTAAAACAGATGTTGGAGTATACTCTGTTCTTTTATGGTTTAAGAGCTTTTTTTTTTGTATAAGCTGGGTCAGTATGAGCGTTTTTGCACAGTCACCAGGAACAAGTTTTGTGATAGAACAAGATTTTAGATGGGAGAGTGCCAGCAATAGTGATATATATGAGAATATGTCTTTGCAGCTAGGCAGAATTTTAAAGATTGTGATGACAACAGTTATGCCTGTTTATTAAACCAAGAATAAGAATTTTTTTTTTACAAACTTCTCAAAACATAAAGATAAGAAACTTTTCAATTCAGATTCCTATGTGCCTAGGAGTACAGCCAAATGGAAATTTAAAGATCAGTTACAAGACATTCAAACTTCTATAGAATTGCACTGAGTTCACTAAACTACAATGAAAGCTTGTCGGATCTGATAAGCGACCTGTTAAGGTGTGGTCAGGGTAGAGTACATTTCAGTATCATCGACATAACAATGGACGTTACTGTTTGATACTTTTCCACACACACTGTTGAAATGTAAGATGAATATGAGCTGCCCTAGACGTGAACTCCGAGGAACGCGCTTGGTTTTTAGAGGGAAACATCTTGAACTTTCACGCACTGGACTTTCTAAAGAGATAACGCCCTAGAACATGATCTTACAGTCTAAAGTCAGTAAGTTCTTGCAATTAAAAATATACCCAGAGAACAGAACATCACAATCTCTTCCCAAACCCTATGCATTCACTGCAACGTTTGGGCCTCTGCTAGTCAAACATCTTCACATTGGGTCTTTAAACAGGATGATGATCTAAAAATATGCCCAAATCAGCCAAAAAAACTGGTTCACTAGACACAAAAACGCCTTATTTCATTGCCACCCTAGCCCTCAGATTCCACACATTAAACAAGTACTGCTTAATATAAACTGCCCTGCAAGTGATTCACATTTAAACTGTCACTGGGTCTGCTCAAGACTAGGATCGCCAGAAAAGAAAAACAGTGTGACATAAGCGAGTCCTTGAAGCAAGTGGGATTTTCAGTACACCCTGTCCTGCAGGGTTGGAATATATACAGAGCGAACTGGAGAGGAGGTGAGAAGAAAATCAGCAGCTAAAAGATAAAGACTAGAGTCCTTCCTTGTAACACGCTATCATAACACAACCACTTTGTATTTACCAACAGTAGGAACGCACAGATATTAATGACACCATTGATATGGCATGCACACCTTCCTCATGATTTGATTAATTTAGTGGCATAATCAGGCTCATTATCAGTAGCGTAGTTCCAGATATCATATCCTCATGTGAAATTACAACAAGTTTGCAATGCAACTGATGGAACACGCTGTTTTCTTCCCGGCTTTGTTTACTGTTTGCAGTGCTGCCCCACGCCCATTAATTTGTAAACCGCCTCCTCAGCTTAAAAGTCCCCCTTTTGCAAATCGCTAAATGCCGAATATCTTTACAAGTATACTCCATGTGCTTTCTACGTCGATTTCAAAGAGAGAGTTATCTGATAAATGACCAATTTATTCTCACACACTTGGGTCATCTCAAAGCAGTTTGAATGAAAAGGCAGGTGATGAAAGGTTTAGTCTGTGGCACCAAGAACTGCTTGTGGTAGAACCATTTTCTGTTTATAGAAAAAGGTTTCTTGACTATTTTACATCATGTGGCCTGAAGCACCCTTTTTATAGCCTGAATGTGTGTACTTTACTGGACTGGGGGGTAGATGTCTTCCAACCTTATAGGAACATCTTTAAGAAGCTTGATGGAGGGAATGGAGCCCAACACATAAGAAAAAAGACTTCAGATGTTGTCTACTTATAAATTATTTGTGCCTAAGATGTGGATTTTAACATGAATTTTTTTTTTTACACCCTGCTCTGAGGCTCTTGTTGATGCATGTGGTGGCAGGTTCTGATCTGTGAGTGTGTCATATTTACATACGCTCAAAGGAGGAATTTCCCTTTCGGTGTTTAAGTGGTGTTTCATCCAGGATTGTGGGTCAATGAGTCTGCGTTAGTCATACACGGGAGTATTCAAATAGAGGAGTCAGTCTTTGCATATGTTGTTGCTGCTTTTGTTGTGAAATCTAGTCCGGTTTGACTAGCTGACTAGTCATTTTGTTATATGGAAACTTTAATCCTGTGGTATTAGTGGAAGCTATTTTCATTCCAAACTACATGGATGTAGTGCTGCCGCACTATGAACTGATATTTTTTATACTTGTTTTATTTAAAGGCCAAGTAATTCAAGTCGATTTGGAAATGAGGGTTTGATGTGATGAAAATGTCCCTATAATTGTTATTTCAGTTGTCATACCTCCAGCCACAGAGATTTTAGGGGAAAAGTTTCCACTTTTTGTACTTATTGCAAAAGCATTTTTAATTTTTTACCTATTGTATGTCTAAAATGCAATGTTTATGTTCTCATAGGTAGTGATTCCTAAGGAGCTTCTGAGGCTTCAAGTTGGGGTTTTTCATTTAGCCAATATTTTTATCCTTTCCCCAAACATCCAAAGGGGAGAAATCATTGAATATCATCCACAGAAGAAGTAAATATATTTTATTTTGGTGGTGTGGGGCTACACAATGGTGCAGTGGGTAGCACTGCTGCCTTGCAGCAAGAAGGTTCCTGGTTGCATTCCCGGCCCGTGGTCTTACTGCATGGAGTTTGCATGTTCTGCCTTTGCATGCGTGAGTTCTCCCCGGGAACTCTGGCTTCCTCCCAGAGTCCAAAATATGACTGTTAAGTTAATTGGCTTCTCTAAATTCTTCTTAGGTGTGTGCGTGAATGGTTGTTTGTCCTGTTTGTCTTCTTTGTTTGTTGCCCTGCGATAGACTGGCGCCTTGTCCTCTGTGTATCCCGCCTCTCGCACATTGACAGCTGGAGATGGGCATCAGCATCCCTCACCCAGAAGGGAAATCAGTGACAGGAAATGGATGGATGGATAGAGTTTGGTGTAATAATGTCAAACAATTTAGCAAAAATATTGGAACAGAAACAAGCTCGTTTTTGGTGGAGCTGTAAGAATCCACAGCTTAGGTGGGAGAATCTGTCAGCCGGTGAACTGTTGTGCGAGAATTAAAAAAAACCTTAAGAGGTTTTGATTGATTTTCACGTCATCCTAATTGTGTCTCATAGGAGACACAATTAGGATGGGAAAGGTGGTGTTCTGGCCCAAAATATAACATTCTGTATAAAAAGTAAAAATCTAGAAGTTCACATCGCCTTAAAACTAACCTTCCTATGGTGGAGCTTGGAAATGACAGTATCATGCTGTTGCAAAGCTTTCCTCATACTGCAGGCTTAAATGTTGCATAAAATGGTTTAGATCAAAGCATTTTTCCTTGTAACGACGGTCAAGTCAAATTCCTGAAGTTATTGATCACAGAAGTTTTCCATCCAATCTGATAAAGTGCTTTAATAGTTCCCCAATCATGAAATGGCAAACTGATAATGAGCTTAATCAGTGATAAAGGTAGAGATGTACTTCATGAGACATGCAGCTACAAAGGGGGCAAAAGGGGTTGAATTAAGTATTGAGTCAGAATAAAATATAGTTCCATTGAATTAGTGTTTTTTTGGTAACTTACAGTAGGATTCTTTTCAAATAAGTGACTCGAATAATCCTTAAGGAACAAAACAGCTGAGATTTAAAATGAAGTCATGAGTTTTGCTGTGGCATCTAATCTGTTTTTTTTTTTGTGTTCCAGAGTGGAGGATGAAGCTGTTTTGGACAGAGGAGCAGCTTTTGTGAAGCATGTCTGTGATGAAGAGGAAGTGGAAGGTAGGCAGATTACTGCTCTCTGGTCTTTTGTGCTGCCTGTGAAAATCCTACAGTCTTAATGTTCACACACATTGTATCCATACTGTTCTGTTAAGGCGAGAAAAGTGTCACCCTCCCACAAGTATCAGCACAGAATCCCACGTCAGTGACAGAGATAATTCCTCTAAGCTAATATATTTCGCTGGGGATAGCCTTTCTAATCCTCCTCACTGTTGTCTGACAGCTAAAGCCACAGAAGAATCCAGAGTCACCCAAATGTATTTACTGAGACATTCGCATATTTTCCAAACCACCACTTAAAAGGTTCACACAAAGACGGAGGCACGTTTGTGTTCTCGCCGCTTTGTTTCTTTGCTTGCCGGCGTTTCTTATTGCTGCGCTGCATGGAAGTCCACTGTCAGGTTTTATTTTGTCTCGGATGCACGTCGGGTTTCTGCTCTGAAGCAAAACAACGATGTCATAAAACCTGCTAGACATGCTATTGGAATGAGAGATTGACTAGATATAAACATGGTTACTTCAGCTCTGACTTAGACAGCTGCTTCCAGTGTTGAAAAGAGATTAGCTCTCTTCTTGCCTCTAATTATTTCCTGAACAGGATAAATTATCATTTCCTCTATGAGCCTCTGTGTACTGTAACGGTTTGCACATTAAAGAGGTAGTTTTGCATTTTTCCAATATAGGTCTGTGAAAACTTTCTTCATGAAGGTTTTCTTTGCATTATACCAATGCTAATTATACAAACCTTTAAACTAAAGTTTGCAGAAATGAAACCTGCTATTATTTACGCAGGAAATGGTGGTAATAGATGATGCACCACTGATTACCTTCCTGTTTAAAATGCATACTAAAAACAAAACATGCAAAGGGTTACCTGACTGCTGGAAGGAGAATGTAAAGCTCAATATATATAAGAAATGTGTCATACATGTTAACTTTTTTTTTCAACTTTTGGAACAGGAACACTAACAGGAAACCCTTTAGCCCTGTTCTCAGCAGGTTTTTCATACAGTTGGATCATTGGTGGGATAATCCATCTAACCTCTAGTTTAATGTAAATAATCATTAGATACTCTGTAAATAATCACCTAATGGAAATCATTTAAAGCCTCCAACTAAAATGCTGTAGTGTTTTGATGTTAGTTGTTTTTAGGATGGAAGAAGTTTAGTTTTGAACTTGTTAACTTGAGACTCCAATTCCTATTATTCTTGATTTGAATAAAGCTAAGAACAAAAAAAATCTGATTCACTTGAAAAAAATCTATAAACATCCATTCCCATCAAAAATATCAATTTCTTTTTTCGGCCTCAGAGCAAACTTCAATGTTGCCACTATAATGCCTTTGGAAGAAGGAGGAGATAAGTCCTGTTTAACCTGCTGCTTTTCACAGGCTTCATGTTCCTTTTGAGATGGATTTTAAGTTTTTTTTTTTTTTCTTTAGCTACAAGCTGTCTTTGTAATTATAAACCACCCAGAATTTGGCAGGTATTTATTTACTGTTGGTTTACTGAAGCTTACCTTGAAATGGCTATAGAGGAACAGAAAACTCATCTTGTATTTGTACTTATGTTAAAAAAATGAACCCACTGAAAAGGTAGAAGGCATACCCCAATATAGATTAATACGTTTTTTATTTCCAGGTTTTTTGAAAGCGCTTTTTTTTTACTTACATTTTGCATATTTCGATTCCACTTTTAAGCAGCTCTAATCTTTGCGTTGGCTTATGTAACTTCAATGCAGATTTTTCTTTTATAGATGTTAAGGAAAAACTTTGGTTTTTACACTCAACAAAAACTTCTTTGAAAAATTTTAAACCATATCTTTTTAAATATAACATAAATATTAGTATATGTTTTATACAAGGCCAGATTGCTTTGATCTTTAAAGTTTTTTTTTGCTATTAAATTAACAAGACCCCTTTTTGTCTGTTAATATCATAACTCTTCATATGTATTCCTGGTGTTTGTTTGTTGCAGGACACCACACTGTGTACATTGGTGTGCATGTTCCTAAGAGCTACCACCGGAGGAGACGCCACAGACGCAAGTCGAGTCATAAAGAGAAGCGGGAACGGGTTCAGCAGATTGTGGAAGGGTACAAGTCCGATGCGGAGAATGTGGATGATTCCAGCTCCAACTTCCTGAAACCTCTCAGTGAGTAGAGCTTAAACTGACTGAGATCTGCTAAAATGCTCAGATTAGAACTCAAAACGCTGACATTACCACTTTATAATTAAGTTCTAAGATGCATTTCACCATCTCACTGCAAATTTTTACCTGTTTCTGCTGCCAGGGAAGCTGAACAGAGTTGACTGTGTTCATCTTTCTTGAATCCATGAGAAATGGATGGGAAGATGGCTCAGGCTAATCTTAAAATGACACCCCACCTGGCCTAATGTGTGTAATGTTAACACAAAGGGAGGTATTCCCTTACACCTGCAAGCTTATCGCCTTTCTCTTTGGGATTTGTGGGAAAGGATTTGAAGCAGCTAAAACCTGAGTAGTTGGTCAGATGTTGGAGATCAAGAAAAGAAAATTACAGATGCAGAAGTTAGGAAAAGTATGTGAAAATTTCAGTCACATTGAATTGTTCTGTTTTAGAAATTATTAGTCCATAAAGGGATATGGAAATGTCCATCAGGACTCTCAGTGTAAGAGGAAATTTCTTTCAATGTTGGAGTTGTTTCCCATATTTAGATTGGAATTTACTTTACGTGTCTGATTTTAAAGTGAAATTGATGTAAAATATTTTAGTATGCCTAACAAAAGCAAAGACTAAAGACTTCTGTAGGGTAAGCAATTTTGCATTGCTATTAAAGGGTGAAATAAATTTTAACAAGCTTCTAGGTGGAAAAGATCCAACAACATTTGAATCGACATTATGATTTGGTAACAGTGTAGATAAAAGAATCAATCTACTGTAATTTAAGAAGGTAAATTTGGCCTCAAACATTATAATTTGTAGGCTTATGATTATCAAAGTTTACCTAAATTATCATGTAAGAATCTGGTGGAAGTAACTGTGGAGCTATCATGATGAATATCCTATACAAACTGGAAAAAAAAGGCAAATCTCTGAACTCATTGGGGACATATGGGGGGAAAAATGATAGGATACCCAATCCCGCGGACAGGATCAAAGCAAACTGATGACTATAATGATGTTTAAAGTTGAAATGAGTTACTATGATCATTGTGATCAAACAAATTAAAGGGTAAAAGTAGAACTAAACCAATGAGAGAGAGATACAGAATCATAGAAGACTGCAAGCCTTGTTTATTTACAGGCCAGTTTGCTCAGGAATAACCGTGAAAGAAAATTATTCCCTAATGCTCAAATGTATGAAGTTTGTCAGGTAGAATCTTTCCTGCAGGAAATCTCTCTCTTCTCATAAAAAAAGAAAGGACTTCTAACTGGAGAGTCAATCTAACAGCTTTTCAAACAGCGGGAAAATTTCTAGGCGAGTTTCTTTACCAAAATCTTTATAAAGGCTCATACAATTGTTTTCTTCTTCTTTTACACTGTGCAGTAAAAAAATAAAAAATAAATCAGATTGCTCTTGGTTTGTATGCTTAAAGTGAAATAATTAACATGCTAAATGGATAGCCATCTGTTACAAAACCATCACTATGAAAATTTAAGATTTTAGAGTAGTTTTTAAGTAGTACGTTTTAAAGTCATTTTTGCAGTGTTAAAGTAACACTCTAAGAGTAAAATTTAACACCAATCCGAGTGTGTCTGGTCCCACTCTGAATTAGTGTTAAATTAACTCTACACATAGTGTATATCTTACTCCCGTTGTTGTTGTAATAACTCAAAAAGAGTCAATGTACTTTGAAACTGCATATTTAACACTGTGGAGTTATTGCATTTTTTTTTACTTTTGAGGGAAAAACAGAATTGACTGGTCACTTGGATCTATTCAATCCTTGAGGAAAGTTTGCACTATTTAATAGTAGCATTGTGGTAATCATACAAATGTACAAGAAAAGGTTTTAACATGATTACGATTCTTTTAAATAAAATGGAAAAGCAGGAATTTTTCCCACTTTTTTTTTAAGAAACAATGTATTGGCATGAAGCTTTTTTGCTTCTAGCTTTTAAAGCAATGTAAATTGATAGAACTGATATGGAGAAGGTTGCAGTAACCTGCAGCCAGCTACCAGCAAGGCACAGAGAGCTAGTTTCGGCATATTTTAGCTGCCTGGTTCCCTCTGCGGCCAGTTATGTATGAAAAACACCGCTGTGTGGAAATGTGAAGTAAAGAATCAGGACCGACGGACTAGAGGAATGTACAGCTGCTGTCTTCTGACAGTAGTTTTATCAATGAGTGGCAGCTGTTGAAACCACATGATTATATCAGGTCAGGAGGGGGCTATTGAATAGGGTGAATAATATCTGTATTGTAAATAAAGACGAACCCATAATTTAGTTGCGTTTTAACCAGATCCATAAATAATTAGACCGTTTTTCAAAAACACAGGAAATTTGAATGACCCCAAACCCAAAACACTGGTTCTGGTTTCGGTGCGTTTGTCGCATTAAGCTGCCTTGATACTGCAGAAGTGCCTTTGATTAATCCTCTCTTCTCTGAAGCTGTAATCCATTGCACCTCATGGTCTGGTGTCATGCAGCATGTGTGTTCAGTCATCCGAAGATGCCTTGATATGATAAGTGGTTTGTTCTAATTAATCTCCACATCCACATATCACAGGTCGTACTTGATTAGTGTGGATTTCTTTAGAACTTTAAAGCTCAAACTTATGATTTTATCCTATCACTTATATGCACCACTTAAAATGATTTTTTCCCCCAAGTTGCAGATGACTGAAGATGTAAAAAAAATTCTACTTCTAATTGAAAATATGCAGTTGTTCACACAGAAATGAGTGTTTCTGGAGAGTTAATGCCAGTGTGAACCGATCTATACGAAACCTGATGTGGTTTGCTTGCAGTGCAATAAGCATGCTGAGTTCAAGTGTACCAAAAATGGCAAGAGAGGATGTGAATTAGGTGCATTTGAGTAGAATAAGAGAAAAAAAGTGCCTGCCAGAAAACCAAAACAAGTTTTAGACTTATTTAGTGAGAGGATGATGCAGGTGAACAAAGTGTTTGCTGATAAAAGAGGGAGACAGATTATCTGTTTTTGGTCCTGCCTGATTGATGAGATGAATTTTCTTTTTCTACCCTTTAGTTTCCTTCTTAAATAAAGGCAAACCTGGAACAATACTGCATCTAAAAACAACTGCAACCACATTACAAAAACTATTTTTATTTATTTATATTTTGCTAAAATAATAATTTTATTTTGCTAAAATAATTTTAATATTTCTGTTGTTTTTTGTTTAAAACGGATACTTTTTCTGTGTTTAAAAAAAAAACTCCCTTTTTTATTAGATTTTTTTTTTGATAAATAAAAAATGTTAAGCTTATTTTTGAATGTCATGCCAGGATTGCCAAAAAATGTGTGGGACTGTGAACACCTGTTGAAAGGCATTTCATTGAACGACGTTAAACCAATAAAAGCTTTTCAATTCCTCTAATCTGGTAAACAGTATTATACAGTTCAATTATTTGGCTTGTGTTACTTTAAAACCTCTTTCTGCTTATTGACTAAGGCTTTGTTAATTATCAAATTAACCTCCATGTGCCGAAAGAACTCAATAATTTACAATCCTGATGCACCCTCATGCTTTTTATGCGTTCTTTATTGAAATGCAATGCCTTTAAAACCCACGTCTATGGCAGGTTGTGCCTCCATTGACTCAGTTTTCAGCTGTAAAACAACAGGCAGCCAGAAACAAGTGCAACCAAACTAAGCAGTGAAGAGTGACTGAAACGGAAAATTTAACACTTCCCAAATGCACTCAGGCACATGCAAACGGACACAAGCTCCCACTTTCTTATCAGACTGTATCTCCGTAGGAAATCTGAAGCGTAAACAGTCTTGTAAGGTTGAGTGAGAGGACAGACTTCTGTGTATGAAGAACCCCTCTTGGAATAAACATTTTTCCGCTGTTGAGCCCGGAGCAACCTCGGTGACCCCATGGAAAATATGCGATGTTGGCTATGGCTGTTTTGCCTTCTCCTGTCATGCCACCTCTTGTCTGTTCTTCTTTCTCAGGAGAAATACAGATTGACATGTGTACTTAGATGACATCTAAAGAGCCTAATGTGATGGAAAGTTTTAGTTTTGGATCCTAATTAAACAGTATGTGGGTATAGTTTAGTGTGGCACATGTGAAGCTACCTGACAGTGGATACAGGGCCTTCAGCTTCCTGCTGTTTTGACCTTTATCTAAATCCCTGTAATCCTTTTTCATTTATCTATCCTCTTTTAATCTTTTTCTAAATGCAGATTCTAAGATTTGGTTTTAACTGAACACCATTTGACCCACCTGAGACACGCATGTGCTGAAAAACTCACTGGTACCAGTGATCTCGGGGGAAGTCTTCCAGGTGTTATTCGACTGAGATGCTTTGCACAGGATGCCAGGGTAATGCCCTCTAAGCCTCTCCCTGGCACTGATCCTGACCTTACTGTAGCTTTGTTTTAGATTGTGCCAGTTTAAAAACAACCGTCCTAAATTAAGGAGCTGGTGTGCTTTTTCAGGATTAAAAGATTACTTTAGGTGTTCAAGGTAGAACGGGGAAAAAAAGGCTAAGAAAATACTACTTACTTAATGTTGCACAACTTTCCTGGTAGTGTTAACCTTGAAAATGATTTCCTTTTAAAGGAAGAAATGGCATCTGCTTTAGGAGACAAGACGGAGGGGGTCATAAGTTTGAGGTATGCCTAAAAGTAACTTGAGGAAGAGCAAGAAAATAAAGGCAGTGCTTGCCAAAAACCTCTTCTATTTCCTCAAATTCTTTTTCTGCTTTTCTCAGAAGGAAGCGAAACCTTCTTCCTTCTCTGAAAATGCTGGCAAAGCTTTCACATAAAGCATCAATGACTCTTTTCATAGCAAATGTCTGTACCTACCTGCTCCTGTAGGTGACTATAGCATTGCATCACTGCGCTGTGAGTCAGAAATAGCTCTGAAATATGGGGGCTTGGGTTTTAGGGAGCTATGACATCACGCGGATGAATTTTCAAACACTAACCCATGCAGAATTCCTGCAGCTCCAAGATGCACGTACCACCCGTTTTGGAAAACCCCACCTCCACCTCTCAAGTTAAAGGCCAGATTCAAACGTGCCCTTTGACTTTAGCATTCCTTGGCTCTCGGTTTCTTCCTTTAAAGACATTCCTTGTTGGATTTACAAGAGTGCTTTGGAATAAAGTGGACAATGTAAAGGTTTGCTTCAGTTTAGCATCCAAACACAGTCTTAAACAGCCCTGCGGGAATAGGCTACATTTGTAGGTTAGTTAATGATAACAAAGGGTTGGGGACCTCGGGTATTAAAGATAACAGAACTGTACATGAACTGTAATGTCTCTTCTGTAGTGGCTCACGATGAGTGTGGAGTTCTTCTTCAGTCTATAATAACTCTCCAGACCTCTTAAAGGCCTTTTCCTTTACAAAGCTACACAAGTTCTATTCTGCAATCTTTTGCTAACACATGTTTAACTCTGTGGCTACCTGCATCTTAATTTTGGAGACTATTCTTTGCATTATTCTGTTTTGGATCTCTGCAGTTTGTATGAAATGGTGCCCCCATTTACTCTTTGATTAAAGCAATTGTTTTGTGTCCATTACCAAGATTTTATTACAGTACAAATATTTGGTCTTAAAGGCTCTGTTGGCTAATAACTATGGTGTACATTTAGGACATTTTCAGTCCTCAAGACATGCATACAAGACGTAAAAAAATCCTTGTCACTTCTCAGGTATCAGAAAACATTGGAACTCAACTATGCAGTTATTTGAGTTTAACAAAGCAGTATTCTCACCTAAAAAAAAAATCCTTAAATGTTTACTTTGGGTCTTATAAAGCGAACTATATACATTTTATAACTTGTGTGTTATAAAATGGCCGCTATGAGCTTCTTGTTTAACAGCAGCTCATAGCTTAATAAATGCTATTAGCCCAGCTAACATTTATTTAAAAAGTGGTTTTGGTGCAAATTCACACAGTAAGGGTAAAGATATTTTCCTAAATCTAAAGTATCCAATAGAATATGCACATATGAAATATGAAAGTTCACCAAAGGAGCTGCACGAATGGCTGCATCATCTACATTTCTCAGCTGGATGCTTTACTGTTTTCATGCAAACCATGGTGAGAAACTATGCTCAGAAATCACCAGTCCTCTATCCAAGCTTCCGAGAGAATAAAAGCTCACAGCATAGATCCAGAATTTAAGTGACAATTTTCTTTTCCTTCCCCTTTACAATTTCCTGTTTAGTTTCTCCAGCTGAGAGGATCCGGTTTATCCTGGGAGAGGAGGATGATGGACCACCACCTCCCCAGCTCTTCACAGAGCTGGACGAGCTTCTGAGTGTGGACGGGCAGGAACTGGAATGGAAGGAGACAGCCAGGTGAACCACCCAACCGATGCCTCATAATGCTGGCATTTATCTGCCCCCGACTCCCTCCTCTATGCCTTTGAGATCAGGAGCAGTGGGCAGTGTTGGGAGAAATTTCCTGCTTTACAGTCTATCATGTTTTAGAATTGTGAAAGGAAGTAGGCTGCACTCCAGTGAACTCCCTGAATGTCGTTATCTGATTAGGATTCTTGTTACCTGCCCTGTGTGACCAGGAAAAAGCTCAAACTCTCACATGCTCTGAACAGGACTTGCTGTTACAATTTGCTGTGGCACAGACTTAACCTTTAAACTCTGTAATTACTCCTACATATTTTCAATGAGATACAAGCATCAGATAAAGCTGTTTCTAAAGAAAACTTTGTTTCCATAGCACTGACGCACAAAGTCAAAGATTTGCAAGCTGGCGAAAATTTCCAAAGGGCTGAATGCTACACTTTACAGGTTACAGTTCACTCCTATTTAGGGAAGCTGGGGTCGAATGGGAATTTCTGCAAATGAACTCCATAAAGTCAGGTCAGAGACATGTGGACCATGCCCAGCCAAAGGGATACTCTATCCTGAGAGGAAACACCATCCTCTGGCCTCATGAAAATGGTTCTTTGTATCAAAGACATGTGATGCATTATTATTATAAAAAGGATCCTTGTCCCTGGGTTTTACCCTGAGGATACAGCCAGGGTTAAAACCAGGGTGCAACATAACCCTGTTCCACCAAATGAGTGGTGTGGTCCGAGCACTATGGGATGCAGCCAGTGATTTATGTTTTTATGGTTATGATTTCATGCATCTTCTGTACTTATCTTTTGGAGTGTGATCAATTCAAACTTCAGCAAAAGATAATCAAGCTTGTTGCTTTTTATGTTTTGGCTAAACCACTCTTTACACTCTGTGTCATCTCTTTGTCTTCTTTGTATAGATGGATCAAGTTTGAAGAGAAGGTGGAGAAAGGCGGAGAGCGTTGGAGCAAGCCTCATGTCGCCACATTGTCCTTGCATAGCTTGATGGAGCTCAAAACATACATTGAGAGTGGAACGATCCTGTTAGACATGGAGGCGTCCACGCTGCCGCAAGTTGTTGGTAATTGGAGTTGACCGCACCCAGATCTGTTACACAAGAGATTAAACGTTTTGCAGATGACACCGTTTTTTTCCCTTGAACGTGTCTGCAGACATGATCACAGACAGCCAGATTGAAACGGGTCAGCTGAAGGCAGAGCTGAAGGAGAAGGTGGTGTACACGCTGTTAAGGAAGCATCGCCACCAGACCAAAAAGTCCAACCTGCGCTCTCTTGCCGACATCGGCAAGAGCGTCTCCAGTGCAAGCCGGCTCTTTTCAAACCAGGAAAATGGTATAGAAATCCCTGGGTTTACTCCTTTTTATGTCCAGCATTTTCACCTTTCATAATCCTTTATCTTCAAGTTCCTTCTAATACTTGCCACTTTTCTACACTAATATGTTTCTCTTCCAACCCCTTTTCCTTATTTTCATTTTCCCACCCTTCCAAACCCTTTGTTCTTTTCCTTTTTCCTGCCTTTCTTCTCCGTTGTCCCGAATCGTCTCGGGGTCTCTGCTGTTTTCCTGCATCCGGGGTGCAGCACCACGCTCCTCCTTCGATCACCCTTTGCCTTTTTTAACTCAAGACTCGTCGGAATCATGTGAGGTCATGAGGAGCTCCAGCACGGGACACCTTTGTGAGTGAGGTCACAGGCCTCCAGCTGAAAGATTTACTGAGAAGTAGCATATGTTAAGAACCAAGATGGAACAGAGCCATGCTGACACACACCCTGGTTTTTGTTTAGATATTGCTAAAACCTAAATCAGATGTGGAAAAACATGCACTAGAAAATGTATTTGGCAGTAGAAATTGTTTTTACAGAGGGAGAGGAGGGATAAGCTTCCAAAGTTTACTCTCTCTCTCATTTGCCAATAGCTGTCTAAGCAGCATATGTCTGTTGATGCCTCTAAGTGGCAGCCCTGAGATGACCACATATCTCAGCTGTTCTGTCTGTGGAGGGACTGAATGAACAGCCATCTGGCTTTAACAGTTAAGCTTAAGCCATGCCACATTTAGCGTATGTTTCTTCCTCCTTCTGTATACCTAACTCATGCTTTGTGTTCTCTAACCTCCTCTAAAGCAAAGAAAAGTCTCATTTTCTTAATGATCATGTGTTTTTGATCCAAACAATATCTATGGCCTGTTTTCAGGTAGCCCTACCACTACCCACAGGAACCTCACCTCCAACAGCCTCAGTGATTTCTCAGATAAACCAGAAAAAGATCAGGTAATGTGTTTTTAGCTCTCCCTTTAAAAATAAAATAAAAAATCCGCTCCTGTTGGTAACCCTTTTAAAGGGTTGTGAAAAGCTTGATAGAATGAAACTCATAACTGCCTTACTTATACCCCTTCTGTCAATACTGTGGTCAGACTCTCCTTGTTTGGAATAGGACAGCACTTAGTTTACGCTTGTAACTCGAAATTGTATAAATCACAATCAGAGCGAAGGCTCTTCGGCTAGTCTTCTGTCGACTGTCGTTCTAGATCAGGCATGCCCAAAGTCGGCCCTCAAGTGCCGCTGTCCTGCAGGTTTTAGATCTTTCCCTGCTCCAGCACAGCTGATTTTCATTGATAGCTGTTTAACAGGCTTTTGCTAAACTGCCATGGTCAGAATCAGTTGAGCTAAAAAAGGGAAAACTCTTAAAGATGCAGGACAGTGGCCCTCTAGGGGATTTAGTTGTTGACTGGATAAACATTTCTGTCATGCAATCTGTATTTTAAGTCATTATTATGACCCTCAGCCAAACTTTAAATACATTTGTCCTGGTATTTCAAATAATTCATAACTGCAGTGCACTCCAGATTTGAGCCAAAGGGCCTTTTTGAAGCGAAACAGGCCCACAGTACTACAGATTCTCTACTGTACCAGCATGTATGAGAATCTGTTCAGTATTTTTATTAGGTATAATCTTTTACCCAACCAACCAAATCTCCATCAGGGATCTTTGAAAAGCGTATTTAAAGATTAGCTTTCATCCTAATCTCCTGAGCAGCATGTTGTAAACTCACGTTTAAAAATTATCTAAGAAAAATACCCCTCTGTCTCAGGTAATATTTATACCCAAAGAAGAACAGTCATGCAATACTGATTAGACATCTGTAGGAACTCTGATCTACTCATAAAGAAGCACTGAAGGTACTTTGATTTGATTTTTATAGCAGCAATAATTGTTGTACAGGTGGATTTTTTTCCAAAATGATTTATTCATGAAGGATTTATTTTCTCTTGAATGAATGTTCTTGAATGAAAGGCACCCTTTATTAGGAATACAGCGTGAAAGTATGCTGTGGCAAAAACATGGTGCCTTTTTTTTTTTTTGCATTATTTAATAAGAATTTTGGTTAATCGACAGTAGGTTTTCAATATGTCAGAAGTTGCTTAGAAATATAAATTTCTGAGCTTGCAGGTGGCGCAGCGGTTAGCACGACCCTTGGTTAGTCCTCAGCTGACCCGGATTCGAATCCGACGGATGGTCCTTTGTCGCATGTCTCTCTGTCTCTGTCTTACCCCCTTTCCTTTCAGCCTACTGTCGAAAAACTCAAACTAAAAAAAAAAGAAATATAAATTTTTTTCATAATTCAGAGCCCCACCTGAGACAGAAAAGAGGCCTAGTTGGTTTGTTCTGCAGCTCAATTTGAAGCAACAAAAGCTCTCTGTGGTGTTTGTTAGTTGAAGTCTAAGTCATCTGCCCTGTGTGTCCTGTGTCTCCTGCAGTCATGGTTTAAGAAGAATTGTTTCCATAGTGACAGATCCGCTGCAGTTGATAAAAACATGGCAGATGTGGTTAAAATGTAACAACTGTTAATAACACTGTAGACTATTGTGACCTTTACTTTCAGACGGAGTTTTATTACATTGATTTTTAATTTATTTTCTAGCCGTCATCAAATTTATCAATTAGATACAGTACTCCATTTTTCCCTTAATACTATCTTAATGCCTTCAGCTGAAACGAGTTTGAGCAACATGGAGTGCAGGCACATGACTTCGTGGTAGTGCGGTGTGCCAGCAGCAGCCCGTTTCTACACACAAGGGCCTACTTTAAACAAAACTTCTCAACCCCCAACATATAATGAATAGTTCAGCTGATTTTTATTCTTTTATTTTTATGTATTAAAGCAAAACTTGCAGCTCCAAAAAGTAAAGCACTAAGTTTGACAAAAATGTTTCTTAACTAAACAACTCTATAGTTTATATGAATCTATTTGTCTCACAAAAAGAAGAGTTCAGCTCATTTTGCACAGGGTTATATTATACAGGAGCACCCTGTTGACCTTTTTTTGGTTAATTTTCTAATATTGATTTAAATTATGTTGTAAAATTCGTTTTCTAGGAAGGCAGGAGTGGGTTGTTGTGCTGGAGAGCATTGTCCTACCCTTATGGAGCGGTGTAGCTAGGGGTTTGCCTTACTTTTTAAGAAGGCTCTATTGTCAAAGTAATGTTTGTTCTTTTGCCAAGTCCAAAGTAAGAACGATGTAGACTTTGGATATATGCAGCTGTAAAGTATGTTTATGGGATGGGATAAAGTGAAGATTTCACCATGTGGTTCATGGTTTGGGTGGATATTAACACTGTTCTAGATGCCTATAGGCATTCAAACAAACCCTACTTTTTTTTGTCTTGTTTTTATTTTATTTTTATGTATTTATTGTTGAATCATGCATATTCCTGCATGCTGTTAGGGATGTTTATGCAGCTCATTGATTTGATTACATTTCAAGTTATGTACTAGAAAGGAAATGTTCTGAAAAGCTGTACAAAATGAAGTTTAGCTTTGTATACATTGCGTATACAAAATGACAAAAGTTGTCTAAGTCTGTTGATGTTAACAAGGTCTCCTTTTTTTCTTCTCCACCTGAAATGGTTCCACAGCTGAAGAATAAGTTCATGAAAAAGCTGCCCCGCGATGCTGAGGCATCCAACGTGCTGGTTGGAGAGGTGGACTTCCTGGAAACCCCGTTTGTTGCTTTTGTTCGCCTGCAGCAGGCCGTTATGCTGGGAGCTCTGACTGAAGTCCCTGTGCCCACAAGGTTAATTCCTCCTCTTATTTACTGATGCTGCATAGAATCTTTAAAAATAATAAAAAAGACTTATCAATATCTTGGTATTGTGCCTAGGTTTATGTTTGTACTGCTGGGACCTAAAGGAAAGTCCAAGTCTTATCGGGAGATCGGAAGAGCCATTGCTACCCTGATGTCTGATGAGGTATGTTGTTATGGCGACGAGAGAATAAATATTTAAATATGCATTTATTTTTTTGTTTATTTAACAAAAAAACCTTAAAGCAAATGGGCACCTGTAAGCCCTGTAAGGCCACATTTATTAAATGTTCTTTGGACCTAATTGTTTTTGTCGCCCAGTACCTGTCAAAATAAGAACAAGAAGGTTCTGGATTCGATTCTCTGTCTTTCTGCATGGAGTTTGCATGTTCTCCCTGAGCATGCGTGGGTTCTCTCCGGGTACTCCGGCTTCCGCCCACAGGTCAAAAACACAACTGTTAGGTTAATTGGCTTCTCTAAATTCTCCTTAGGTGTGAGTGTGTGCATGAATGGTTGTCTCTGTGTTGCCCTGCGATAGACCTGCGAAATGTCCAGGGTGTACCCCGCCTCTTGCACATTGACGGCTGGAGATAAGCACCAGCACCCCTCACAATCTCAGCAGGGATGAAGCGTGCCAGAAAATGGATGGATGGATAGACATTTACCCAAACGGAGTCCCAGTCCAGGAAAGATGATGAAAAAAACAAAAATATTTATTAAAACAACAACATTCACCTGATCCCCATTAGTATGAACAGAAATTCACTAGTAACATTCAGCATGCTGCAGTATCGTACAGAGCTTTTTGCTGCTATGCTAGGCTAACCATTCCTATTTAATTTGATAATTTGAAGGGGGGACCACAGCAGCCAATAAAGTCTCTCTATCACTGTAAACCCAATGAAAAGCACTTGTTTAGTTTAGAAAAGGCCAAAGTTTTTGGATCAATAAAATACTATGAGAATGAATCAGGCCTGCACACCAAGGAGGATATAAATATAATTTTTTAAACTTTCAGCAGAAGTCGTTTTTTCTCCCACTGGAACAGCTGTTATACAGCTCTCACGGTAAACTAATAGGTAGTGGGTTGAGTACCTGCTATATAGGACAGTGTGTGTTTTTTTTCATCTGTTACTTTGTTGTCAGGAAGGTTGGCCCTTAACACTGTTCAGACCTGCCCCACATTTTCCCACCAACATCAGTCACATCCTCTCTGTTGATAAACCAGGTTAGGAAGTGTTTTCACTGGATTTCCTCGAGTTAAACTTTACCCCTCTCAGCCGTCCCATAACAGTCCCGTTATCAGATGTTTTTTTGACTCATTGCCCCATGTGTTTATCTGCTGTATTCTCAGTACTGGCATAAACACATATTACCTAATAATGTTTGCTCATTGTGGGAAACATTTAAAATGGTGTGTGTTGCTTAGAGTTTTTTTTTTAAGTGCCAGATATTAAAGTCAGTGACTGGCTGTACTCTCTGTTCCAGTAAACAAAGTGATTGGGAAATATTTTCCACTCAGGCGTTGGAGTTACACATTTTCTTGCCTTCTGTTTCCAGACTCTGAATGTTGTTATGTTAATTTCTAATGTTGTAATTGGTTGGCTTTATTTATCTTCAAGGTATTTCATGACATCGCCTATAAAGCAAAGGACAGGAAGGACCTGCTGGCTGGGATCGATGAGTTCCTGGATGAGGTGATCGTCCTGCCGCCTGGCGAGTGGGACCCCGACATCAGAATAGAGCCGCCCAAGTCTCTTCCCTCCTCAGACAAAAGGTCTGATCTGCTCCATATTAATGAGCCAGCAGTTCAGAAATTCCTATAATTTATTCATCATGTGACACCTAAACATTTCCTCTCATTAAACTACCTTTTTTTTTTCTTTTTCTTTTTTCTGGATTACCTCACTTTTTGTATTCTAAGATTTTACTCCGCTGAATGGAAATATTTTGATGACGTCTTTAGGGATTAAAGTAAACAAACTGACTCAGCTGTTACTGATCAAATCAAACAAACCCAAATAAGACCATGTGGGCATGTAACCTTTTCAAAGAAGAAGAAAAGAATTTATTTATAATATAAAATAGTCTATCAGGCCTATTTACCCCATGACTCATAATTCACACTTAATATGTCGATTTATTTTTTTATGTTTTTATATCATCCACTACATTTATAACCACCCTTAAATTTTATAATGTCTTAAAGTCAATTAATCTATTGTTGGAGTTGCATAATTGCACACAGTATAATGTAGAATATAATTTATACCCGATACCACTTAAAAAATCCAACCTTGTAATTGAAGGTAGTGCAGGAGGGATGGATGCCATATTAATAAATAACATACACTAATGAGTAAAAAAAACACAGTTTCCTAAATCATTAACACGTTTGCTGTTAATTTTTTGTAAAATCCCCTTTTCTGGTAGGACAGCGGCATGCACAGAGATCAATCTTTGACCTCTTTGTTGAACAACACCCGTAGGTTGTCCTGTTTCTGCAAGTTTTCTATAAGATTTAGATTATGGGGTAAAAAAGGAGGTTGAATTTGGGTCTTTCAGCCCATTTCTGTGTTGATTTGGCCATCTGCTTTGGTTTATTGTCCTGCTGAAAAAGACAGTGGTGACTTAGTTTTTACAGAGGCGGTTCAATCAAATCATGCAGATAGATTGGTTAAAAGTTTAATCTCTAAGGAAAATCAGCTGATATCATGGAGGAGGATTCAGTCCTCCTGGAGGAACTTATGGCAACAGGTTGAGGGAACCGGATTTTTGCATTTTTCTCACTGTTATTGTGGAAAACCAGAAGGACAGGAATTGCAGATTCTCTAGCATGCTCACCAGAGAGCATGTGGTGTTTTTATCATTGGCTTTACACAGTGGAATGTTTTGCTTTATTATATGTTACTGTTTTTTGACCAAACCACAGAATTCATATAATCCAGGTTTATACTATTTCACATGTTTCCACTTTTCAAATGGAGCTTACCTTAAAGTCAAGTTGGTTCTAAAAAAAAAAAAAGAAATGTGAGACTGCATCATTACAAAAAATTTTGTTTTTTAACCATGCCTCTTTAGCCTGGGGACCAATGAACATCTATTGCATTGGTCATTTTGTATTAATGCAAGGGTTCTCTTCATGCTCTGCTGAACTGAAGACAATGTGTGTTTTAATTTTTACTTTTAAAGGAAGAATATGTATGCTGGAGGAGAGGCACCTCAGATGAATGGCGACACTCCCCATGATTCAGGTCATGGAGGTGGAGGAGGGCACCAAGTCGGAGAGGAGCTCCAGTGCACAAGAAAGTAATTTGAATTTCTTACTACATTAGGAAATAATTACAGGTAAAATAGCAATTAATGTAAAAAAGCCCACGTTTAGTGATCAATTCAAGATTTGTTTTTTTGTTTTTTGTTTTTTTTACATGGTAACACATAATCAGTATTTTGATAATCCTGATGGACTCAGGTTACTGTAGGTAAGGTAAGATGTGGGATATCAAATGAAAGCGTTATAACTTTTGTTTTCCCGATGACAATAAGAAAAAATTCCACAAGGAACTAAAGAACAATTGATGCATTTCACAGCTGAATAACCTTATTGTATGTCTTTTGTTCAGAGCATTCCTTTCTTGCATAACTGTAACAGAAATGTCTTTAAACAGATCTTTAAAGCTCTATGTGTGCCTCAAATATCACCACCATGTTTAAATGGAGCTGTGATGTGACATTAACTAATTTAAGTGATTTTGTTTTTAAGGTTCTGCGGGGGTCTTATCCTCGATGTGAAAAGAAAGCTGCCGTTTTTTGGCAGTGATTTCTACGATGCACTCAACATTCAGTCTCTGTCTGCCATCCTGTTCATCTATTTGGGGACAGTCACCAACGCAATTACTTTTGGAGGCTTGCTTGGGGATGCTACAGAAAACATGCAGGTAAGTTTGCTGATTCAAATGCCATCCTTTGTTTATCGTGGCATTTAAGTGAAGGTTGTTACCGGGAAAGATAACAGCATGGAGGACATGTACAGGTGCTGGTCATAAAATTAGAATATCATGAAAAAGTAGATTGATTTCAGTAATTCCATTTAAAAAGTGAAACTTGTATATTATATTCATACATTACATACAAACTCATATATTTCAGATGTTTATTTTGTTTAATTTTGATGATTACAAATGACAACAAATGAAAATCTCAAATTCATCATATCAGAAAATTAGAATATTACTGAAGACCAATAAAAACAAAGGATTTATAGAAATGTTGGCCAACTGAAAAGTATGAACATGAAAAGTATGAGCATGTACAGCACTCAGTATTTAGTTGGGCCTCCTTTGGCCTGTATTACTGCAGCAATGCGGCGTGGCATGGAGTCGATCAGTCTGTGGCACTGCTCAGGTGTTATGATAGCCCAGGTTGCTCTAATAGTGGCTTTTAGCTCTTCTGAATTGTTGGGTCTGGTGTATTGCATCTTCTTCTTCACAATACCCCATAGATTTTCTATGGGGTTAAGGTCAGGAGAGTTTGCTGGCCAATTAAGAACAGGGATACCATGGTCCTTCAACCAGGTACTGGTAGCTTTGGCACTGTGTGCAGGTGCCAAGTCCTGTTGGAAAATGAAATCTGCATCTCCAAAAAGTTGGTCAGCTGCAGGAAGCATGAAGTGCTCTAAAACTTCCTGGTATGTGGCTGCGTTGACCCTGGACCTCAGAAAACACAATGGACCAACACCAGCAGATGACATGGCACCCCAAACCATCACTGACTGTGGAAACTTTACACTGGACTTCAAGCAACGTGGATGAAGTGCCTCTCTTCTTTTCCTCCAGACTCTGGGACCTTGATTTCCAAAGGAAATGCAAAATTTACTCTCATCAGAGAACATGACTTTGGACCACTCACCAGCAGTCCAGTCCTGTTTCTCTTTAGCCCAGGCAAGACGCTTCTGACGCTGTCTGTGGTTCAAGAGTGGCTTGACACAAGGAATGCGACAGCAGAAACCCATGTCTTTCATACGTCTGTGTGTGGTGGTTCTTGAAGCACTCACTCCAGCTGCAGTCCACTCTTTGTGAATCTCCCCCACATTTTTGAAGGGGTTTTGTTTCACAATCCTCTCCAGGGTGCGGTTATCTCTCTTGCTTGTACACTTTTTTCGACCACATCTTTTCCTTCCCTTCGCCTCTCTATTAATGTGCTTGGACACTGAGCTCTGTGAACAGCCAGCCTCTTTAGCGATGACCTTTTGTGTCTTGCCCTCCTTGTGCAAGGTGTCGATGGTCGTCTTTTGGACAACTGTCAAGTCAGCAGTCTTCCCCATGATTGTGTAGCCTATAGAACTAGACTGAAAGACCATTTAAAGGCTTTTGCAGGTGGTTTGATTTAATTAGCTGATTAGAGTGTGGCACCAGGGGCCATCAATTTTGAACCTTTTCACAATATTCTAATTTTCTGATATGATGAATTTGAGATTTTCATTTGTTGTCATTTGTAATCATCAAAATTAAACAAAATAAACATCTGAAATATATGAGTTTGTATGTAATGTATGAATATAATAAACAAGTTTCACTTTTTAAATGGAATTACTGAAATCAATCTACTTTTTCATGATATTCTAATTTTATGACCAGCACCTGTACAAGAACAGCTGAATCTTCCTTACTGAAGATTTGTTATTTGTTTACTTCAAATGATTTAAATATCCAAGTTTTGTTAAGTCAGTTGACACCAAGATGGCTTCGACTATTAGCTGAGCTCATCGTTCCGTCATCACTCCTCGTGTTAAACCACTTTTGTCTCTTCAGCTGATAAGCCATGCTAATTTCAGGCTTAGAAGGTCGAAGCAAATCCATTTGCTGAACCAAGGCCTGATTCCTTACAGGAATTTTTACCTGAAAAGCAGCAAACAGTGTTTGCATCCATCGTTTGGGTGCACCTGCAGGTGACGGTCTGTCCAGCAGAAGCTCTGCTGCGACGGAAGCCTGCAAAGCATCGGCCTCATGCAGGGATTTGCCAGAGCTGTAAATAACCACAGATCCAGATTACTCAGCCTTCGTAGCCTCAGCGTGGGTGTTAAAGGAATCACCCCCCACCAAGCCTTTCCCCTTTAAACCTGTACTATGTCAGTGTTTCTCAATCCTGTTTTTCCAATCTCTGCAGAGCAGAGGGAATCCCTGTCCTTGGATAACCTTTCTTGCGTCATTGTTTATAATAAAATATCTTTTGCAAGTTTTTTTTTTTAAACTGGGTTGTAAATCTATAGATAACAAATTGGAAAAAGCTAAATGTGATTTGCATAAATAGGATTTTAGCCTTTATTAATAATGGTAAAACTGTATATTAATTTTAATAAATGTATTTTGGATACATTTATATTGAAGATGATCAACATGCTCACTAAATGAATGTTTTACTTCAAATTCTTTACTCTATCAGTCATATAAAAGTCTGCAGTGATGGTTCTGTCGTGTGCTTTAGGGAGTGTTGGAAAGTTTCCTTGGCACGGCGCTGACGGGAGCCGTGTTCTGTCTGCTAGCTGGTCAGCCCCTGACCATCCTCAGTAGCACAGGCCCGGTGCTTGTGTTTGAAAGACTTCTGTTCACCTTTAGCAAGTGAGTATCTACAAATGATAACTGGAAAACAGACGTAAAAGCAGGAGGTAAATTAGTCTGATAATTAGGATCAGCAGATTGCAGTTTTTTTTTTTTTTTTTTTTTTTTTTTTTTTATTGAGTAAAAGTGTGAAGCATGAAAATACGACCTTCAACATTCACAGGCTGCTTTCATTTACAGTTGTAACCTGCTGCACTTTAAATCACTTAGTATTTGCAGATTGCTCACAGAACAGTTTTGCTCTCAGCTTCCTTTTCTGGTTTTACTGATTTCTTTGATCGAGTTGAACAAATGGCCAATTGAGGGTCATACTGTAAATATAGAATCATTTAACAATCAAAACAGGCTTTCCAGTGCTGAGGCCTCTCTTCTAGTGCTTTTCTGACTCCCTAGGCTCATCTTCTAGCATTACCAAACACTATGCCTGCTCTGTTCCATTATTAATAATTTACTCTCATTTAATTTTACACAGTGAGTGAAGAACGATGGGGTTTCTGTGCCCCTTTAAACGGCTGTGGTGTCGGTAACGCCTTTAGTATATTGTACCACAGATACTATCATGTTATAAAAGGTCTTGTTGATCATCATCCCCTAGGAGTTACAGTTACCTTGATAGCCTTAGAGCTGTCATTGGACAGGATGACATTCGGCATGATGGGCATTTATGTAACCGTTCAATCTAAATTTGTATAATTTAATTACTTTTACTTAAAATGTAAAAGTGACAATGGTTCCTACTGCTGAAATAGTATAACATTGGTTAAAAAGTGTATGAATTATTTATAAAATTTTATTTTTTTGTTTTGTTTTTAACTTTAGAAGTATTCAAAAAGGAAGTTTAAGTCACCGGATCTCTAACCTTTCTGTTTGTGAGCTATACAACAAGCTGACATACGTCAGGATGGCTGCCTGCTCCGGTAGCCATCCTATAGTCTGACACGCTGCTCTTATTTTGACTTCAGTAGTTTCAAAAAACGTGTTAGCTAAATAAAAATATAAAATAAAAATAAAAAATTTTTCTCTAACACCCAAATTGGTTTTCTTTTTTGTAAGCAGTGAGAACTTGTAGTGGCAGTAGCAGGTGGGGGTATCTCCATTTTTAACGAATTAAATCAATCACTGTAGCACTTTTATACCCTTTCCAACTGGCTGAAAAACCTGTTTAAACCCTGGAACAGCTCTGTGAGCTGTGTCGACCCAACTCAAACAATTCGGCAAGCACTGGCGTTAAAGTCTACTTCAAACGCCTCGGCTCTGTTCAGCCTACAGTTGGAACATCAGACCTGGGTCGACATGCTAATTTACCTTATTCCATTTAGCTCAACATATGGACATCAACACACCGCGCCAGTCGCGTCTGATATAACCAGCTAGCCAAAGTAACATTCAATAAATATGCCGCAGGACTGGTGAGTGGGACTCGGACAAATCAAAGAGCGAAACAATAAAGCACGCTTTCTACATCCTGGTTCTCTTATGTTTGTCTGCATTGTTTACTTTCCTGACCTCTGTAACAGTGGTAACATAACCAACACTTACGCAGATATACAGGGGTGGGGGGGCAGAGGCCACGCAGCTTGCCAGTGAGGGGTTAGGCCCAGCTTTTTTAGCCAATGAGAAGGGAGGTAATTGCCAATTTTTAGCGGGTCTACCCGTATGTGAAAAACACGCGTCAATTGGCTAATTTCTAGGGATGGAACGGTTTATGAAAACCGTCCGAAACGTTCGGTTCTACTGTCTCTGTTCGATTCTCGTATGTTGCGTTCGGTTCATGCGCAGCTCCATTTTCTCATAGGCGAAGCGTGTACACTCCAGAGCAGAAGGTGGCGGTACTGCGACAAAAGCCATCCACCAGTAGTAAACATGAAGAAGAAGCGAAGCAGTGTAGCAGGGTGTAGCAGAAAAAAATCAGTTGTTGTGGAGAACTGTGTGAGTATGGCAAGTGGAAAAGAACAGAAGTTGGAAGACGCGCCAGCAGCACTTTATAGGTCTGCTGTATGGGACCACTTTGCATTTACAGTGACCTATGATGACGGCGGAAAGAAAGTGGTGGATAAAAGTGCAACAGTATGCAAGCACTGTGCAACACGTTTTGTTTATGCTAACAGCAACATGACCAACATGTCAGGCTAACAAATAACATATACTGAACCGAACCGAAAACTGTGACCACGAAACCGTGATCCGAACAGAACCGTGGATTTAGTGAACCGTTCCACCCCTACTAATTTCCGTTGGAAAGAAGCTTTAATCTGACATCAATTTAATGATAGATTTAAGCAGGTTATGTAACTACAGCTTATTTAAGTCATTTCAGTTTATTCCTTTTATTACAGATGAACCACATTATAAAGTACCTTTGTTTACAAAGGTTGTGTAAACAAAAATAAAGTCAGTGAAATGAGTTGCCACTTTAATTTAACGTAATTGTTTTTTGTTTTACCCCCCCTTCACTCAGAGATAATAATTTCGACTACCTCGAATTCCGGCTGTGGATCGGCCTGTGGTCCGGCTTGTTCTGCCTGGTGCTGGTCGCCACAGACGCCAGCTTCCTGGTGCAGTACTTCACACGCTTCACCGAGGAAGGCTTCTCTGCACTCATCAGCTTCATCTTTATCTACGACGCGTTCAAGAAGATGATAAAGCTGGCCAATCACAACCCCATCAACAAGGAGTTTGATCACAACCTCATCACTCAGTACGACTGCCGTTGCGTACCTGGTGAGCATCCGACAGCTTTCTCTGCAGCAGACTTGGATGACACCTAATCACTACAGTACTGATTGATGCTGTTAGATTTGGCAGGGTGTTTGTTAAAATGTGTTTGCAGTAGAAGTAACAACTTCAAACCTTTGCTTACTTTCCCAGCCTCCCTATCAGTTTGGCACTCTTTCCATTCTCAGTTGGAACAAGTGATTCTGCTAAATTCCAAAGTATTCCTGCTTTACTGATTAGATATTTATTTTTTCCTAGATAATTCATCAGCACTAAATGTTTCTGCCTGGACAAATACAACTCTGGTACGTGTTGTCCTTATTTTATGAACATTAAGCTGAACAGCATTAGCAGTTTTGATTTAGGAATGATTTCTAGAAAGGTGCTATCACCAACTCGTTGACTCAAATTATGAATCTCTTTTACTCTTTGTCTGCCCAGCCAGAGAATGCAACCTGGGCTTCCCTGACCATGCAACAGTGTAAGGAGTTTGGAGGACAGCTGGTCGGAGAGGCTTGTAACTATGTGCCTGACATTACCCTGATGTCCTTCATCCTGTTCTTTGGGACCTACACCTGCTCCATGGCTCTGAAGAAGTTCAAGACTAGTAGATTCTTTCCCACAACAGTGAGTTCTAGCCCCCCTATGAACAAAATTTTATTTTTGCTACTAAGTGATAGAAAACACTGAGACCTTAAGTCTTCAGGTGTTAGAATAACATATTTTAAGGCTTTTGTTGGGATGAATGTAACAAAAATTCCAAATCAGAGAATAGTTGTGGGGTAGGAGGATTATGATCTAAATAAAATCCACAGTAACCTATAGCATTCAGAGTCATTAAATTGCACCTGTTATGTATAATTCAGGTCTCATTACAAATGTATTTGGTTTTTGTAAACCCCTCAAAGCAGAAGTGTCAAACATATTTTCAGCATCATTAAGTCTTAATAAAAGCTGGTTGAGCTTCAATGTTACATTTAAACTCTGCTCTGCCAGTATCACTTTATTAATTTACTATAAATGTTAAAGGACCATATGCTTTACTTAATGTCATGGATTTTTTTTCACTTGTATTTTATTATTTTTAAAAGGAACAAATAATATGAAACAGAACAATTTACAGAGAACAGGTGGTCCGAGATCCTTAATATACATTGTCCATTTTTCCAAAGGTCTTCATATTTTGCTTGTTACAACCTTAATAAAAAAGTTAATCTTTTCATGCTGTAATTTTCTCCTACTGTCCATCCAGTTTTTGAATGAAGGGTTTACTTCTTTAGACCATTTGCGTGTGATAGCCTTTTTTGCTGCTGCCAATAAAATTTTACATGACTAAAACAAAATGTCAGTATAGTTCTTGTGGTGCATTCTGTACCACAGTATCTTATCCATTTCTTTGGCAAAATCTTCCCAAAATTGGGACAAATTGCAGCACTGCCAGAAGATCTGTGCATGACTCCCATTCTGTTCTCTGGAGAGTCTCCAGCAGAGTTGGTTTAAGGATGACAATGCTTTTTTTTTTTTTTTATCTTTGGAGTAATAAAAAAACCTGAAAAAAACTTTTCTAACAGTAAATTTTCCAATTCCTAGAACTAGTAGTGGTAACCTGTGATTTACAGATAGTGTACCACATGTCATTACTTATGCCCTCCTGTAGTTCATTCACCCATTTGTCCCTAATATACAGTGTTGAGGTTTTCCTATGAACTATTAATCATTTATACAGTGTTGCTACCACTTTACGACTTTTATTGTTATATGCATTGCTTAATATTTGTTTAATTGCGTTCAATTCACCTGGGAGAACTGGGCTAATTTCTTTTAAATAGTAGTCTTGAGCTAAAAGTACAGGTAAAAATCTTGCTTTTCCAAATCGAACTCCCTCTGCAGAGTTTGGAAACCTAAAATTTGGCCTTTTTTGAAAAAATTTGTTTAGAATAATCCTTTAGTTGTCCATTCTTTAAATTTAGCATTCATTATACCTTGTTCAAAATTTGTGTCATAGGCCAACCAGCTTAAACGTCTTAATTTTTTCCTCTATCTTACTTTTTCTTACTATTTTAAACTAAATTTCCAGGGTAAATCATGTTATGCATTTTTTGACCTGAGGCTGGGATCAACTGCTGGATTGAACCAGATCTGGCTCACTGGCCTTAAGCTTGACACGTGTCCTTTAAAAGTCTAATGGAGAAGATTACTGAACAAAATGGCGGCATGAAGCCCAAGAACACTGGAGATGGGTCAGGGTGAACGTTTGGAGCAATGCAGGGTCATAAAACAATATCTGAACTTTAGTTCTGATTACTGAACACAGCGTCCCCATGTCGACACGTGTATTGGCAACATCAGGCACTGGGGACGCTTTTATTTCCATAGGGACAGAGAAGCCAGACAACAGTTGATGGAAAGATGGGTGTTAAAAACCAGATGGAAGTTAAAAGTGAATTTAAACTGAGTTGGAGGTATATGGTCTGGCTAACTTTACCAAACCAAACAGCCAAGCTCAGGATTTTGTGTTTAATATAAAATATTGGTGGGTTGATCCAACTAGATTTTCAAAGATGATCTCCATCCAGTCTGGCTGAGCTTGAAATCTTTCTCAAAGATGCGGTAAAGATGTCCACCTCTAGATGAGCAAAGATGTTAGAGAGAAATCCCAGAGAAATTTCAGCTGTTTTGGTAGCTAAACATCTATCAGTTCGATAAATTATGACTTTTTTTTCTTTTCCTACAACATAATTTTAAAGCCATGCATCCTTTATCTCTATACCTTTGCTTCTTTCTTTTGATCTAAAAGCATCCTGATAATGAACATCAGGGTTTGTTGTTGCAATGTTCAAACAATCATGAGTTTTTTTATTCATGAAGTACATAATTGAGTATCCACATTTGGGAAGGATGCAATATCACCGGTCTCTACTAACACTTTGTTTTTCTGCATGGTTCCCTCTTTGCAGGTGAGGAAGCTTATCAGTGACTTTGCAATCATCTTGACCATTCTTCTCTTCTGTGGCATCGATGCCTTGGTTGGTGTAGACACTCCAAAGCTTATAGTGCCTAGTGAATTTAAGGTAACCAATACACATTATATCTACAACAAACTCTAAAATTAAAATCCTAAATGAAGTGTTTCAGACATTGAAATATTACTCAAGGTCAGAAATGGATAATGTAAACAAAAAAATTACATATTCTGCACTCTGAACATAAAGGAGCAGGATCCTTTGATGGGGGACAGTGCATTGGTCAGCAGAGTGCTGTTTTCTTAGATTACACTGTTAATGATCCATGTTTCTGCAAGAAAGCTTCCCTAATTCTTTAAAATCCCTACATAATGCTCTCTTTGTAGTTTGCTCGGTTGGATACATATTACCTGAAACTAAGACAGGCATTCTTGGAGATCTTTGAGATCAAATGTTGGCAGACCCCAGCAGCCCTCCCTTTGCTGGAGGAGTGGGCAAAAGTTGATTACAGGTGATGTGAGAACAGACTGTCTTCTAGAGCAGGCACAGAGCGAGCTTTCTTTGCTCACAGAGGTTTAATTCACGCTTCTCTGTCACATCATAATGCAGAAGTAATTCAAACCTACAGCGTTCAGGTACCTGCTTTCTGTGGCGCAGTTTAATTTTATGCTTCATGTGTTAGCTGTGTTCTTGTATGTGGCCTTTGTACTGCACTCAATATCGCTGTGAGCCTTAAATCTCTTCTCTTTGAATTTATTCAGCCCACAAGCCCAAATAGGGGCTGGTTTGTTCGTCCATTTGGAGGGAACCCCTGGTGGGTCTACCTGGCAGCTGCGCTTCCTGCCCTCTTGGTCACCATTCTGATATTCATGGATCAGCAGATCACTGCCGTGATTGTCAACAGGAAAGAACACAAACTAAAGGTGAGGAGTGCTCCTGAAAACTGGTTAGGAATAAAGGATAAACTACTGAATGATGTCTTATTATAATTGCATTTATATTATAAAACAAACAATTTTGGCCTTGTTGTGAACTGCTGTGTAAAAGGGTCATAAAAAGGTTTGTAAAACGGATAAAAAATGTTTTATTAAATATTTCGGAGCTACCATAATAATTCAGAATCAGAAATACTTTAATAATCCCAGAGGGAAATTACTTAACTTCTTTAAATTGCTTATTATAATTGCTTCTTATTTACATAAAAAACGGTTAAGATGGTGAAGCTTAACAATAAAAAAGATTCATAAAATTTACATTGAAATCTCCTTTAATTAAAGCTTGAAGCTTTGCCATTCTGTTGAATTGTATTTCTTCCTAAATAGTTAAATACAGTGCATTGCAAAAGTATTAATGGTTTTGAACACATTTTGTAACAATACAACCACATCCTTCCCTGTGTCTTACTGGGAATCTATTGGATAAACCAACACGCCGTAGAGCATAATGGTGAAGTGGAAGGAAAGAAGCTTTGATCAGATGAGATCCTAATTACATTTCTTTAACCTACAAAACCTCTTAAGCTGCACTTCATTCTAAAAACAACATCCTAATAATGAAACATGGTGGTGGCAGCAGCATGCTGTTGGAACCTTTTTTCAGCAGGGAGAGGGTAGTAGCTCAGACCTGCACTAAATTTTTTTTTTATACCTTGATCTATTTATGACCAAGAATGACCTCGTTAAACTGTCCATCTAGATTTGAACATTTATGAGTTTTTCATTGTCCAGGGAATGTACTTTTCAGATATTTACTTAAGATAAATGTATAATTTTATTTGATCCTCCTCATAAAGTTCATAATACATCAAATCTTCTGGTTTCATCTTTTGCTGTGTAAACTTTTTAAAGCATACGAGAGAAACAATCAAGATGCAATAACATTAGAACCAATAACCTCTAGTAGGCTCCTCTATAACCACCTGGTGTTGTCTTCTCTCTCATCTCTCCTACCCATTCCCAGAAAGGGGCCGGGTATCATCTGGACCTGTTCTGGGTGGCCATCCTGATGATTTTGTGCTCCTTCATGGGGCTGCCATGGTACGTAGCTGCCACCGTCATCTCCATCGCCCACATCGATTCTCTGAAAATGGAGACGCAGACCTCCGCCCCCGGAGAGCAGCCCAAGTTCCTGGGCGTCAGGTCAGTTGACACTTTAATGCTCGTTAACATGAAAAAGATTTATTTATTGACATTTCTTTTACTAATGTGTGGCATGTGGATGTATTTGGAGTGCAAACCGAACAAATAGCTGTATCAAAGAGGTCGGAGAAACATTTTCCTTATAGTTTAAATCAGTCAAAATGTGTCTTCTGCTGCTTTCTGTGTAGCTGATGAGCATTAGTTCTGTAACATTAGTTTAACTAACTTTTTCCCATTGTTTTTAAATGCTTAAAATGTCAGAATAAAGTTTCAGTACTCTAGGATTTCTAGGTTTGAATTGCTGTTTGGAATTTCCTCCATATGACCAAACCAGTTTTTTCATCCAATGCTGATTTTCTTGTTTTTAATCTTTTTTTTCTGTCGTTCCTCCTGTCCAGGGAACAAAGAGTCACTGGCATCTCTGTGTTCCTCCTGACGGGACTCTCTGTCTTCATGGCTCCTATCCTCAAGGTATTCCATCCAGATCCTAATTCTCCCATGGAAATGTGGATTACGGTCCTCCTCTTTTAGGACAAGCTCTCGTCACTTGGTTCATTTTTCTTAAATCATTGAAAATCTTTCCTTCATCCGATTAGAAGCCCCTCGACCTGAACTAATTCAATGTGAGCTAGGGACATTCATCAGGACTTTAAGCTCCAATTGCAGAAGAGTGTAGAGTTTCCATTCTCCCACTAAGCTGGCAGAGGACTGAGTTGATGATGTCGGAGCTGCTGCTCCCCCTTGTGGACATTTTATAGACTCCCCTCCTACTGCTTTCTCATGTGGTTTATTAAGATGTGTCTGGTTGTATGGTGGTGTTTTATGTATTAGCCTGTCAGAATCTAAAATCATACATCTTTCTCTTTTTTTTTTCACGTTTAAAGTTGACAAAGCTACATGACTACTAGACATTCAAAACATAAGGAAGCAGCAGTGACTGCAAACCAAGTGTATCCACTGAAAGGCTGTCTGAGCTGCTTTTAAATATGCACTGAAGACACAAAACTACCTTTCTGTTCTAATTAGTAGAAGATTTATTGCACAAAACTATAATGCTCACTTGTTGTTTAGCTCAAACTCATAATCCTGCAATCAACATGTATTATATGGATGTTTTCCTGCTCTGCTGTCTGCAGTTCATCCCCATGCCTGTGCTCTATGGTGTCTTCCTCTACATGGGTGTGGCATCTCTCAATGGTGTACAGGTGAGTTGTTGCACGTTGCTTAGACACCTCTAACTAGCAATGACACAATAAAATAATATGGGACTATTTTATCTTCATGTCTTTAATTATTCATCATAGTTATCACAGCATTAGTTTTAATGTAGTCTTAATTACAGCCCTGACTTTTGTTAATTAGTGCATTAAAGGGAAGGGAAACGGGTGGCGCTGTGATTAGCTCATATGACCCATGTGTGGAGGCCTTAGTCCTAGACACGGACGGCCCGGAATTGCAATTCCCGCATGTCTCTCCCGCTGTCATACCCCCTTTCCTGTCTGCCTACCGTCCATAAAAATAAGCCACTAGTGCCGTAAAAACAAAAAAAAAAGGGTAGGGAAACAGAAGAGTTGGATGTGATTAACAAAAAATGTCGAAAACTACTTCAGAAAATACTCTATTTGAGTCAAAGCTTGAATCTTCCAGCTTAACAAACAGCCAGAGCTTCAGTCTAAAGGTTTACATCAATGTAGCTATCTGTGTTAGAAAGATGCCGAATTTCAGAAGCTGTGCCTAGGCTTGAAAACTGTGCTTCAATTAAACCTGTTTTTCAGTCCCATTTATTCTGAGAAAATTTGTAAAGAATAATTGGGGGGGAGAAGAAAAAATACCCAAGCAGTCTTGCATCTGTAGTTGCAGCATAAGGAGCTTATTAATTTAGGTGGCTGATTAAAAATGGGCATCAAAATTTTCTGATAATTACCATTACAAAAACTTTCCATAACATTATTGTGTGTTTCCGTGCTGCAGTTCATGGACCGTCTGCAGCTGCTCCTCATGCCTGCCAAGCACCAACCAGACCTGATCTACCTGCGTCACGTCCCCCAGAGACGCATCCACCTTTTCACCTTCATTCAGGCCCTCTGTTTGGCCCTCCTCTGGGTCCTCAAATCTACCGTGGCTGCAATCATTTTCCCAGTTATGGTGAGGATCGGCTGCTGTGTAGCTGAGTGAAAACGGAGCTCCCGGTAGCAGGCGTTGAGAATAATTTCACTGCTCCTCTTGTTCATAGATTCTGGCGTTAGTCGCCGTCCGAAAGGCCATGGACTTCGTGTTCTCCCAACATGACCTCAGCTACCTGGACGATGTGATCCCAGAGAAGGACAAGAAGAAGAAGGAGGATGAGAAAAAGAAGAAAAACAAGAAGAAGGGAAGCATTGATAGTGAAATGGATTTTGTAAGTAACTAGTTAAATATCCATATGTGGAAAAAGGACATTTTGTGTTATCCACTGTTGAAGTGATGTGTCAGAAAGTAGATCTCCAGCGTTAATGTTGTCCCTCCATCCTCCCACAGTCCGACTACCCCTACAATGAAAATATCCCCTCTATAAAAATCTCTATGGATATGATGGAACAGGAGCCAATGTTGGGGGATAAATCTGAGGATAGTGAGTACTAGTCAGGGTTTGCTTTGCTCCGGCTCCAACAGCTGCTCAGAACTTCACAAGCTTCATGCTCAGCGCTTCACTGCTTCTCTAACTTTTTTTTAAATTAATAGCACTTCGGATAACATGCCCCTGAAAGAAGCTTTGCAGTGCTTGCTTTTTTTCCTGTTTTCATATTTCTGCTTTTGCCTTTTAATTGAAATGTATGAACTTGTCATTAACTTTTTGCTTCTTTTCTCCAGGAGATCATGCGAAAACTTTCCTTAACCCCCATTCACCGTGCTGAACACTACTTCCGCAGACCCACTGTGTGAGTGAGTACGAACCTCCTTCTGCATAGCTGTTCAAACACATACTTCCTTTAAACTCTGTTATATTTGTTACAGATGCTACAATCACAATCATAAATGTATGGATCATAAGGAAAATGATTTTCATTATTTTTTTGCAATTAAAACTGAGCGGCATTAGTTTTTAATCCAACCCTCTGTATGTTATAAAAGCATAGCCCAAGATTCTCAGTTAATCTAAAGTTTGAACTTTGACTAGGCCATTCCAACAAATCCCTCTGCGGTCACACTGGTTTTATATCAGGGCTGCAACTAATGAGTATTTTGCCAATCCATTAATCTGTCGATAATTATTTTGATTAATCAATTAATAATCTGATTGCAAAAGGCTCCTTAAAGAAGACTTTTTTTCATGAAATTAAACCAGGTGAGCTTTTCCACTTGAGGAGTTCTGGATAGAGCATATTGACAGAAGATTTTTTTTTAAATCTTTAATTGCAATATTATATGGTTTATTTACAATCTTGAGATAATTAATGCTCTAAGTGGGTCGCTTTGTCAGCTAAAGCATATTTAAGAGTCTATACTCCAGTTAAAGATAAATCAATAACAGATTAGTTGAAAATTATTTCAATAATCCATAAATAACAATTAATGCGAAAAATGGTTTTAGCCCTTCTTTATATTTCTTATTAGGTGAATTCTTTCTCAGCCTCAGGTTTGTTTTGGAGACTCAAGTAAGCTTTCTTCCTGGATCCACCTCTTTTTTGGTCATCATAGGACACCATAGCTTGATATGCAAAATAAAAAGTTTTAGTTTTGCTTTTATCTTATCAAAAAAGCATGTTCCACTTTTTTTGTTAAATACAAAAGTCGAAAGCCTGACTGAATCCAAAGTCAGACCACACTGTTTCAGATTTTTCTTTGAAAAACAAAAATCCGCATTTGTTTAAATGGCTAAGTGACAAAATCTGTGGAAGTTAAAGGGAAGTAAACATAGGGAATAAACTTCATGTCATTGTTTTCTTTCCTTTTTCACAGTGTTGGCAGCGGTTCACCTACGATTCAGATTGACCTGGAGAACAATGGTTTCCTCCGGAGGAAGAAGTCTGAAACTGAACTGTGACATGAAAATTTAAAGAAACAGCATGACGCTGCAAACTTAGCCATCCTCTTATTTTATTTAATTTTCTTTTATTACCACAGTGCCGATTTGTAGTGGTATTTCGGTTAAAGTTAGCAAACAGATTTGAATCAGAACGGCGGGAGTATTTGTCTTAACACTTTGTTGGTACTGAATTTCTATAGAGACGTTGCGTCATTGGCTTTAAAATCAACACGGCTCCTAAATATTATCTGAATTCGCTTTAAAACTACTAATTTAGTCATCATCAATCTTAACATCTGTGGACATAAGCAAAGGTTCAGGAAGCTATGGCAACTAAACCATACATTCAACTCCGTTTTTCCTGTTCAAATCATTCCCAAAGGTTTATTTTATTTAATTTTTTTTAATAGAACAAATGAAGACAAGTTTTCTTCTTTCTAAGCTGCTGAAATCATCATCTGAACATTAGATTCTGCCGTTTACATGTTGTGAACAAAAGGGCTATAAAGTCACCTATGCAGAGTAACAAGCTACTTTATGTTTGGTTCAAGGGTGTGAAAATATTTCTGATTTTTTTTCATAGTTCCAGCAATTTAAAAATAACACACAAAGGTTTTCATCTTCTCTTTTTTTAAAATAATTTCTTCCCTTGCTTTATATTTATTCTCATATCACTCTCAGTGGGTTAAGTTTCCTGTAAGGAGTGGAAATATTTAGTTTCAGATGTCTTCTCTGTGGTCTGTTTCCACTCAGCTGTCTTTTGCCTGACTCCAGGGTAGTAGATGTATGAAAACCTTTATGTAGCTCTACCTCTTCTTCTCTGTAGGTGCCAGACATGTTTGAAATAAGTGATATGTATCTTTTATGCAATGATTTGTGATCAAGCAGTAATTTAATTCTCCTATCCTAATTTGGCACTGTATACATGTCAGAATCCTCTTATTTTTTTTTTTTTTACTTATTTTGTTGTGTTTTCATCATGAAATGTTAAATAACGGATATATATATTTTACAAGGTAAATCCACCCAGTTTTCAAGGAAAAGCTGATACTTTGAAGTTTGCATTTGAACAACTGAACATGGCATTAATATATATGAGAAAACATTGTCCCTTTGTTGATATATTGAAACCCTTGCGGTGAGGAGAAATGGCTTCTAGCTTGTCTGTTTAATTCAATGTAACATTCGCTCGCAAGACAATCAGCTGTTTGATTCAGTAGCTTTAAATTTGCAATGCAATTTTTATCCAGAGACTTGTAATTTGATTAATATTTAATCTTGAAGTAATTTTGAGGTATTCATTCTTTTTTTTTTTTTTTTTTATAATGCAAATTTAAATTCAGACTCAGTGTGTGACCGGTGGTGGAAGATTGTTTGGAGTAGGGAGTCAAAGAAGACGTACAGTGCTGAAAACAACTATTTGCCAACTTACAGACTGTTTTTGTTTTTGTTTTTTTATCACTAAATTTTAAAGAAAAAAGCTCTGTAAACACAAAATGCAGTTTTCTCATAAAATCAGCAGAGCCTTTCATGAATATGTAATTGCCCTCTAAAGCTTTTTTACATTAATGATGATCAGTTTTTTTACTTCACAAAGAAATGGAATAGCATCCCAATCGATATTAAGTGTAAACCTTCCTTAGATTAACTAACTGCACTGTTTTAAATGTTGATTGTCCTGCTGCATAACTCAGCTTTGCTCGTCCTTAAGTTCACAAACTGATGGCCACACAGAATGTCTGGATCCATTTAGCAAAGTAGCCCCAGACCATTACACTACTGCCAAGATTGTTGATGGTAGATGTTTATTTTTTCACTGAAATGCTTTTTTTTCTTGTATTATTTTGTTTGTCGTTTTTTTTCCCCCCACCAGATATGTTGACAAATATACTTCTAAAAAAGCTTCACTGTTTTGTCCTTTCAGGCGTTAGTATAGTTCCCTCAAAGTCATTGGGATGATCTAGATGTTTTGTTTTTTTGTTTGTTTTTAGAAATGTTAGAATGGCCCTTTTTAGTTAGCAGGGATTTTTTTTGGTGTTTTTTCTTTCATTTAAAGATTTAGTTGAGGATTTTTGCGAATTTTATAAAAGACCCGCCCTCTCCACTGCACATGCACAACCCTGCACCCCCTCCAGAGAGGGAAAGCCTATTAAACTCTTTTAAACAGAGCGTGCATGTGGAGAAATGGGCTCCTGCTTGCTCTGTTAAAAAGTTGCTGTTTGCATCGCTCATACAAGTTTACTTTCCAGAAGAAAATTTGTAGTTTTTTCACTATGTCAGACTCGCCATCGGTAAGTGAAAATGGGGACGAGCAAGTAGGGTGGCCTTACGTAAACATATCACCAGAATGATTGACAATTAGGAGGACCACTTATTTTGATGATCCACCCGGAAAAAGAAAATCATCCACTACACTTTTAAGCAGTGACTTTGTGACCAGTGGTAAACTGATAGAGCTAAGTAACATAGCTTGTCGTGTAATTTTGATATTGAATGATTTGTTGCCCCTTAAAATTTAGCTAACTTTCTGTTGTTTAGACCACCATGACTCATTATTTTATTTTTTTTTATCCTTTACGTCAGGCAGTAATCAGGCCTGTATGTGGCTGTTGATGATTGTTATTTATTTTTTCTTAATTTTAATCCCAAAATGCTTAATCGGAGTTAATGAATGAATTAACAAGAGGGACAATTACTTTTTCACTTAAGGCTATGTGGAATTGGAATATTTCAATTTTCCAGCTAAAAATCTGTAAAAAAAAAAAATAAAGCAAATACCTTTTGACAGCACTGTATTAGCATTTCATTGAGCAAAATAAAGTACATTATTTCAAATGTTCCTGCATTGCTAAAATAACTTGATTATGCAAATCACCGGTACCAGTCTGATTTAACTGATGCAAAATTTAATAATTTATATCTGTGTGTGATGCATTCAAATCATTTGAACTGTAAAAACATATTTATTACCTTACAATATGCTCATGCACATCTATTTTGTCATAGATTTTTATTATAAGCATCTCAGATTCATCTCTCATTGTTGCATCAGTATTCTGTAATAAATGTGAAGCTAATGACTGTTAACGTTGCTCTATCCCAGAAAACACAATGTCTTCCTCTTTGTTCTGTTATCTGTGTATCTTGCACTCCGACCTGTCTTGTTCTAAATCCATAATTGTAACGATATTTTTATGCTGTAACGCTGACACCGGTTTTGTACCAGCATCTAATGTGCTAAACAGTCAGGTTACTCTGAAGGAATGAAAGTGTCAGTGTTTTTTCTATGATGTAGTTTTAAATGAGCAATAAAACAATCTGAATAATTCTTAAATATCTGTTTTTTTTTTTTTATGTTAGATTTTTGAATGTGGGTCTAAAAGTTGCATGCATGCCAATTTCCCTGATTTTTAGAGGCTTCTCATAGTTTGGAACAGCTGTCTGATTAGTGTCACCACCTTCATCCGAATGCTCAGGAACTGGAAAGGCTTATCTTTAAAAATCCCTTCAAGTAGTGGGTATTTGTCTTTTTGACACTGTCTGTCCTGCAAAGCTTTACATGTTTTCTTGATACCAGATAATGAGTGTTCTGTCCTCATTTTGATCCACCTTGGTTTACAGCTACTGTTGTGAAAGGCAGGACTCCTTAATGGGTCCCACTGTGTCAGCTAAGATCCACCATCAGCTTTTTTATGTTTACATTTGAAGAAAAGATTATTTTTACAACAAATGGGCCATTCTGCTTTTCTTTTTACAGTGATGCACTTCTTTATGCTGGCCTACAAATAGAAACCTATGAGAAAACACTGAAGTTTGTGGTAAAAAATGTTAAAGGGTTATGAATGCTTTTGTAAGCTAGTGCAGGTTACAAAGTTAAAGACATATCTTCTCTTTGATACTCAAAGAGAAGATATTTAGAATCAGCTTATCTGGCCAGGATTGGTGACAAATTTGACTTGATGGGCTGCTCAGTGGTGCAGTGGGCAGCACTGCTGCCTTACAGCAAGAAGGTTCCAGGTTTGATTCCTGGCCTGACTGATGCACTAATATTTTTGGGCTATAATTGGTTTTATCAGTATCTAGCAATACATGCAGATGTTCACCAATTCATTAATGCATCCAGTCACCATGGATAAGATCAGTTAAAGTATATGTATTTGCCTTCTCTGCATTTAGTAGCCATTAATTTCTTTATTATTAGAGGGGGAAAAAAATACTGGCTTCATGAATCGACCTCAAAATACTAGCAGCACATGTCTGTGATCAGTTAGACTATCAGAATAATTTTAATCAGCATCGGCCTTAAAAAACCTATATTAATCGATCTCTAAAGTGTAAAAAGTGGCTAAGACCACAAAATAAGAGTAAAGTTATATTTTTTGTAAAGTAAATTATGAAATCCAGATTTAATTCATACAGTTGAACCGCCGTCTAAAGACCTGATGATGCTAAAGTGGCCTGATATTAAAAAAATAAAAAATGAGTTGCATGGACCAGATTGTTGGCTGCATTCTGGACCTGACTGGTTTCATGGATAAGCCAAATATAGTAATGATTGAATACTGGCCTTTTAGAAAATGACTAGAAGGTTTTCACTCTCTGTGTGTGGAGACCACCTTATGTCTAGAGAGTGGATTGTTCCTAGGAACTGGAACAGATGGGATGGTCTGAGTGTTTGCCTTCTCCACAGTCATTGGTTTTAGCATCTAAACAAGTTTAGAAATCAAGGGCCATTGAAAGATGATAATGTTCACTTAAAAAAGGTTACTTTAGAAAGTCTGGATGACATTACTTTAGATAACAGATGTTTTACTGCTGCTTTTTTAAGTAATTGGCTCTATATCTGTATACAGCATTAATGCATCATGTCATGTTGATCTTACAGTAAAGAGGAGGGAAGACAGCTGCATAGATTCTATAGAAGCAGAATAATTAAAAGTTTTTCCCTTTTTCACTATAATACAGCAGATGTTATAGAAGTAACTTATGAGTAATGATGAAGGCATTAAATCTCTGAAGGAAAAGACAAATTAATTTACAGAGCAACTCTGGATCACGATTTCACTCGGCACATGACTTTTTCTTCTAAATGTTGCATTGTTAATCATTAAATTTTCATAACTGGAAATAAGAGGAAAGCTGAAACTACTTGGTGCTAAATTAGCTTCATGTTTTGGCTCCAGGGGGCAGTGGTGCCTCTTCTATAAACAGCCCAGAAATTAAACCAGCACTGCCTTCATTTAAAGACTTTAGTAGATTTAGATTGAAAGGAAATGGCTTTAAAACCATCAAATCCTGCTTATGGTTTTATTAAAATCCTTGTCATAGAATTAATTTAAATATTTCCATATCATTTATGTGAATACACATAATGCACGGGTATCAAACCAAAAATAAAAAATGTAAATGATTGGGAATGAAACAGTTTGTTGAAAAACCAATTGCAAACTGAACAGTGGTGCTTCGATAGAGGTGACCAGGTTTAAAATGGTAGGCACTAATATAAATGTTCAGAATGTAGAGTAGAATACAATGAGGCATTTTATCTGATATTTGTCAGGTTACTCAGCTGCACATACACTATATTGCCAAAAGTATTTGCTCACCTGCCTTGACTCACATATGAGCTTAAGTGACATCCCGTTCCTAATCCATAGGGTTCAATATGACGTCGGTCCACCCTTTGCAGCTAGAACAGCTTCAACTCCTCTGGGAAGGCTGTCCACAAGGTTTAGGAGTGTGTTTATGGGAATTTTTGACCATTCTTCCAGAAGCGCATTTGTGAGGTCGCACACTGATGTTGGACGAGAAGGCCTGGCTCTCAGTCTCCGCTCTAATTCATCCCAAAGGTGTTCTATCGGGTTGAGGTCAGGACTCTGTGCAGGCCAGTCAAGTTCATCCACACCAGACTCTGTCATCCATGTCTTTATGGACCTTGCTTTGTGCACTGGTGCACAGTCATGTTGGAAGAGGAAGGGGCCAGCTCCAAACTGTTCCCACAAAGTTGGGAGCATGGAATTGTCCAAAATGTCTTGGTATGCTGAAGCATTCAGAGTTCCTTTCACTGGAACTAAGGGGCCAAGCCCAGCTCCTGAAAAACAACCCCACACCATAATCCCCCCTCCACCAAACTTTACACTTGGCACAATGCAGTCAGACAAGTACCGTTCTCCTGGCAACCGCCAAACCCAGACCCGTCCATCAGATTGCCAGATGGAGAAGCGCGATTCGTCACTCCAGAGAACGCGTCTCCACTGCTCTAGAGTCCAGTGGCGGCGTGCTTTACACCACCGCATCCGACGCTTTGCATTGCACTTGGTGATGTATGGCTTGGATGCAGCTGCTCGACCATGGAAACCCATTCCATGAAGCTCTCTGCGCACTGTTCTTGAGCTAATCTGAAGGCCACATGAAGTTTGGAGGTCTGTAGTGATTGACTCTGCAGAAAGTTGGCGACCTCTTCGCACTATGCGCTTCAGCATCCGCTGACCCCGCTCCGTCAGTTTACGTGGCCTACCACTTCGTGGCTGAGTTGCTGTCGTTCCCAAACACTTCCATTTTCTTATAATACAGCTGACAGTTGACTGTGGAATATTTAGGAGCGAGGAAATTTCACGACTGGATTTGTTGCACAGGTGGCATCCTATCACAGTTCCACGCTGGAATTCACTGAGCTCCTGAGAGCGACCCATTCTTTCACAAATGTTTGTAAAAACAGTCTGCATGCCTAGGTGCTTGAATTTATACACCTGTGGCCATGGAAGTGATTGGAACACCTGATTCCAATAATTTGGATGGGTGAGCAAATACTTTTGGCAATATAGTGTATGTGCACACATGTCAACCAAATCAGGGGTCCTCATTGTGTTGCTATGACCCATCCTGT